ATTGAAAAACAATTTGATATACTTAATGATAATTCATTGTGGGGATTATGTAATTTAAAAATAAATCAATTAGTACTTATTATTAATCAAAATACAATTAACTTTCTTGATTTAACATGTTTTGAATTATTAATTAACTTTCAATTAACTATTTCTTCTGGAAAACATTTAAAATTAACTCTTCCTAATTCATTACAATCATGTACTTTAAATGGAAATACTCTTTGGATTAATAACTTAAAAGAACTATCTCATTTAAATTCATTTTATGTTAATTCAAATTATGGACCATTTATTAAACAACAAATTAAAGCAACACAAAAGAAAATATATCTTCCTTCTTCTATTGAATCATGTTTTATAAAAACAATGTGTAATGCCAAATTTGGTTCATTATTAGATTTAACTTTTCTGAAACAACTTAATATTTCTGGAATTATTGATTCAATAGATTGTTCTAAAAATAATTCATTAACAAGTTTATTAATTAATTCATCTTCACCAATTATAACTATTACATTTAACTCTCATTTAAACTATATTAATATTACTAACAAAAAAGGTAAATTAATATTTAAAAATTTTGATGTTATAAAAACAATAAAATATCTCTCAATTGATGGTGATTTTGATAAATTAGATCTCAGTAATATTATCTCTATTAAAGATTTATCTTTATATTCTTCTTCAAAGAAAACAACTATTTTATTCCCTCATTATGACCAAACACAATTACAACATTATTTTACTTCAGTAGGTATTCAACCAAAACCAAAATCAATTATACTTTGTTGTAATTCTTTAATACTAAAAGGTAATTTTTTGATATCAAAGTTATTTTTAGTATTTAATCATATCACTATTCCAACTATTGAATGTCCATTATTAAATCGAATTATTCTCCATTACCAAAATGTAGAATGTATTGGATTTGATTTATTAACACAAAAATTAAAGATACTTTCTCCATTAAATAAGTGTTGTAGCTGTGTTTCTATTCTTTCTAATATCACTCAACTAAATCAAAAGAAAATCACTTTACTTTACAAAACGAAAGTATTTCTTTTATGTTCTCCTAAAATGAACAAAAATCCTCCTCGTTCTAAATCACGAACAACAAATCAAAAACGATTGTTTGGATCAAAATCACCGAACAAAGGAATTTATTTATTGTCTGATGATACATCTTCAAGTTCAAGTGATTTAGATGATGATATTAAACAATACATATATCATTCTGATGTATAGTATAATTTTATTTCTTTATTTAGTAATAATTAAAAATTTATTTTTAATGATTATTATTTAATTAATTCAAAATAATTAATAAACTATTATTAGTCATAACAAGATCAATTAACTTTCTCATTTAGTTTGTTTTCCCTTATATTGTTTTGCTGG